AATATCTTCAGAAAACACATACCACCTTGTAATCTGATTCTTTCCAGTTTATAAAATACTATTTTTTCCCACATAGTTAAATATTATTTCACAAAATAAATTTTAATGTCTATATATTGCTCTAATATGGCTTTTTTAATAGTCATACCAGCCGCCTATGTTGGACATTTAGGTGGTTTCCTCCCTTTTTGGTGGCAATATAGTTATAAATCATAACAATTTCTGACTTCCACAAATACATAAGTCAATTTTCTTCCTTCCTTCTTTCCTTCCTGTCTTCAACAAATAATTATTAAGAGCAAAACAACCAAGTTGAAACAAAGCAACTATAAAAGTCATTTCAGAGACATTTTGGAGAAATCTGATGTAGAATAATTCTTTCATGGTGTTAAGGAGTTATTAACATGGGATAATAGTCTTGCTCATTATATAGAAATTCTTATTTGTTATCAAGCACTGAAGTATTTAAGGATAAAATGTCATGATGTATGCAATTTGCTTCAAAATATTTTTACCAAAAAATAAATGAACCAAATATGGAAAATAACAATGGTTAAATCTAGGTGATGGGTATAGTGCAGTTCATTATACTATTGCCTACTTTTTAGTATGTTTGAAATTTTCATTTAAAATATGTTTTAAAAATGAAATACTTTGAGCTAGGCACTGGGCTATGAACTGGGGGTATAGCAGTGAGCGAAACAGACCCCTACTGTCTCATGGAACATGGAGGCTTGGGGATCATGTTTCCGTTAGGAAGTCTCAAACGCAATATGACTGGTGGCTCCAAGACCTGTGTGAGCCTGGCTTTCCTTGTTGCCTTCACACCGTCATCACTGTGGATGTATTTTCCCAAGTTTTTTAAAAATCCGATGGCCTTGAGTTTAGACTAGGAATCTCCAAACAGTGGTGCACTCATGTAACACACATCAAAAATCAGCTCTGTGGTCTGTGGCACCCCCTGGGTTCAGTTCGGGCAAACTTTTCCTGGGCACCCACATGTGCTTGGCACTATGAAGGTCCCAGCACTTGAAAAGTGGCTGGCCCCGCCCCTGTCCTCCACTCACAATAGAGCCACCCAAAGCAGCCGCCAGGAGGGGAGTTGGCTGGAGGGTAACCGGGACAAGCTTCTTCAGTGGTGGCGACAGAGACCCCAGTGGAATGGAGAGGCTCCATGGAGAAGGGACAGATGAGCAGTCCCGCCTCCCCACAAAGGGACTGGAATAAAGGCCCAAGGAGCCAATCCATGGTGCACATGGGTTCCCTAGTTCAGGGATCAGCAAATTTTTTCTCTAAAGGGCCAGATAAACATTTCAGGCTTTGCAGGCCAAGAGGCTAAATCAAGGATATTATGTAGATACTTATACGATAAGAGTGAAAACATTTCCACAATTTTTTTGTTGACAAAATTCAAAACTTTAGAGACACTAAAAATGTAAATTTCCTATAATTTTCACATATCAGAACTATTATTCTTTTTTCTATTTCAACTTTTTTAAAATGTAAAAACCATTCTTAGTTTGTGGGCAGTACCAAACGACGGGGTGGCAGGATTTGGGTCACCAGCGTAGTTTCCAGACCCCTGCCTTACATGATGGTTCTAAACCGAATGGTTTGGTTTGGGAGCTTCTCTTCGAACGGGCCTGACCCAGTTGTCGCACCAGGGTTTCTGGACGATCTCTACTCCTTACCAGCTGAGGGGTCTAAGGACAGTCACTGAACCTCCCTGGACCTCAGTTTCCCAATCCCTGAAGCCCGAGGATTAACACCACCCTAGGCTGTGGTGAAGGAAATGTCGCTATGTCTGGGACACCCCGCTTTGTACACAGTAAATACTGGGATGAGGATGGAGACTCCTGGCGTGTCCAGAGCGGCCGCGCCCGTAGCAGTCCGGAGCGAGCGCACTCCACGTAGCCTTGGAGACAGACTCCTCATAACCAGGGGACGCGTGTCTTCCAGGGGTGCCAGCCAGAGACAATCCGCCTGAGCCTTGGAACCGGGTTCTCCGCCCGCCCGAGCAGGGGGGGGACAGCAGAACCCCGCCCCCCCAAACACACTTATTCTGGGTGTGGGCGCTGGGCATGCGGCGGGCACTCCCTCTAACCCGGGCTTCCCGGGCGCCAAGAACCGTCGGTGCCGAGACAGTGCCGGCTGCGCGGGGCTCACCATCTGTGCGCCACCGGCCCGCGGGGACGCCGCCGGGTCCCCCAGCCGGCTCAGCAGAGCCCCTCGCCGCCACCCAGCTCTGGCCGCGCCCCGCGCTGCTGGAAGCACTGTCCGGCACTGCCGATCCCGTGCCACAGTCGCCTCGGGCGGGACCTCGAGGATTTCTGGCTCCTGTCAGCTGCCCCCACACTTTCGCGACGTACCCGAGGGTGAGCGCGTGGCTCCCGGCGCAGCCCAGGCTCTCCCTCGAGGCGCCCTGAGGCGTGCACCGCGGCCCGGCCCGCAGCCGCTGGACCAGACGCTGCCGGGTGGGGCGGGGCGGGAGCTGGCGCTTGGGGTGCGCCCGGCCTGCCCGGCACTTGCGCAAGTTGCGCTGGGCGTCTATAAGAGGGGCGGGCAGGCATGGAGCCCCGGAGGAGTCGCGGCGGCCAACAGCTGCGAGGTAAGGTCCGGGGCGCTCCTTTCTCTTTCTCCACTGGACTTTCTTGGCAGGCTACAGCGCCCCACCCTACTCTGGAGCCCGGGGAAACTGAGGCAGGCAGGAGGCAGGGTGGATGGCTTGGTTCTGGACTGTGATAGCTTTGCACCGAGTTCTAGCCAGAGGGAATGTGCTGGGAGCTGGGGAGCGTTGGATTCGGGGTTGGGGCTGTGCCAAGTGCCCAAAAGTTAGGACTCTGTCCTTGTAGGGCCAGCAAAGGCCCCAGGAGACCGTCCGACCCGCCTGCCTTGATGACTCCGCAGAATCGAGATGCTTTAGAAATTGCCTTGAGCTTATCCCCAAAGATCAGGGTGCCCCACCCCCATCTTGAGGGGATAAATTTGGGGGGTGCAGGGGACCCAGGTGCGAGGGGTCAGTTTCTGAGGACTGGACATCGCCTTGGGCTGCGGATAAGAATCCAGGCATCGTTTTCCAGCAAGGGGGGCCCATCCCCTGAATGGGAGGGGCTGTATAAGGCCAAGTCCCAGGAAGAGGGCGATGATGGAGCAGAGGTGGGGAGAAAAACTGTCAGGAAGAACCCAAAGCTCCCAGAGAACTTGTGCTGGGCTCACCACAGCAGACCTTAAAGCCATGCAAATTGCCTTCCTCACGATCCATAAAATGGGGTTTCATGGGAAAGGCCTGTTATTCTCATGTTTCTCACCGTTATGGAATTTCTAGCCAGGACTATTGAATACACACTGTTGGCACAGGGGCCCCAGGGGAGACCCTCAGGGCCACCTATCACCTTCCTTCTCTCCAGGCTTGCTCTAGATTTCACTGTGGGTGTGGTCGCCCTTATACTTCTGTTTGTATGGCTTAACGATGGTGGCACTTTGGAAAAGTGACTTTAATACAGTTAGATCCAAGTGAGACGCGTGGCCTGGTTGTCATTTGAGAATAGCAGCTTTGAAGAGGATGAGATGATTAATTTCTGCAGGAAGGATGATCTTCAGGGGAGGTGGGCGGAGGGCAGGGGCTTGGCCACACCACTCTGGGAGCCGGAGCTCTCCAACTACCCTTCGCAGCATAGGAATTGACCTCTGTCAGCTCGTCGTGTTTGTTCTGTTGAATTCTGAGGCGGGCAGAGGGCAGCTGGGACTGCGGAGAGAGTTCCCAATCTCTTTCCCACCAGGATGGTCGTCGGAACCAAACGGGGAGAGGAGGGCTTCTACCGACCCAGGCACTCCCATCCTAACGCCCAGAAAGGCCTCGCTCAGCATGCGTCTCGTTTGGGCAGGGGGAGGAAGGACAGGAAGGACAGGGGGTGCTTTCAGGTTCTTTCCTTTCTCAAGCAGTTGAGAACGTTGGGCTGAGGGGAACATTTCCATGCTGGCTAAAGGAGCGTCCTTCTCATATTTGCTACATCTTATGCTCAAAATAACTCTTCTTGGTATTTGAGGGAAATATTTCCCTCCCCCTCTGTTCCAGGAAATGGCTCCAAGCGCCAAGGACAGAGCCAGGGAGGTTGCAGTGAATTCCTGCCCATGAGCCCCAGGCGGATTCCTCGCATATCTGAGTGGCCCGTGCAGGGCGCGAAGGTGGCCGCCTGGGAGAGCTGTCCTCCCAAGTCAATGTCCCGCCTCCACCTGGCCTACCACCCAGGGGAGCACTGGAGTCATGGAGAGAAGAGAAGCTCCAGGGAGGTAGCATCCTTGTGGTGCAGGCATCCCTGAACAGCATTGGTGCGATTTAAAGGAAAATTGAGCCACAATCTCCAGCAGTCAGTCAATGAATCAGTAGGCCCCATCCCCACCTGGGGACTTCAGCAGCTGCAACTCCCTCTGGCCTCTCAGCAGAGACCTTTGAAATTCTTCGTTGTCCACACAGTTGTCTCAGAAAAAAACAGGAAGAGAGGTTGTTTCTGCTTAAAAACAGCACACCTGGTGCCCGGGCCCATGGAGTCCTTTGCATTTATTCCACCTGTGACAACAGATACGTCGCTTTCCTCAGCGAACGGCATGTTAACACCGTTCCTTCTCAATTTGGTGGCTCTCCGGAATGGGAGCTGTAGTCAGCGTCCATGCCGACATTTCACTGATACTAGAGAAGATTTAGTGCCCATCTGTGCTCTGGGGTGCTCCAGGCTGGGGGGATGCCAAGGAAGAGGAGAGAAGCCACGGAGAAGACAGGAGAGCAGAGCAGAGGTCTCCGGGAAGGACAGGGGGTGCACGGGTCAGGAGCAGGGGCAGGAGCCAAGCTCATGCATGGGTCCGTGGCAGGGAGCACCCAGGGATGACAGTCTAGATGGAGCAGAGCCAGGAAGCTGAAGGGTGTTGGGGCCAGAAACAGACAAAGGTCCCCGAGAAAGGGAGACCTGGACCCACTGAAGCTTTTTCTGTCTTAATTAAGACAGCTTATTAAGAAGTCTTGCTGGGCAAAAGTAAATTCTAGGATGTGACTTTAAGATGGAACAAGTAAACCGTCATAGAGGTAGGTTAACCTGGTTAGTCGATAAAGATCAAGAATGAGAAATATCTCATTTATTCGTTCAATAAATATTTAACGAACACCTGCTCCATGCCAGACCTGTGGTAGGTGCTGGGACAAGTATAGGTGTCACTAATAGATCATGGCCCCGTGTCCCTCTGAGTCTAGCTGGCACGTCAGATGCCCCTCGCGCAGCCTCCAAGATGCCTCTAACAATTGACCAGAGTTCACATAGGAGTTGAAACGCATTTGTTATCCCTGATGGGAGCAGATCTGAGGGTAGTTTCCGATGGCTACCGGTGAAGGATGTTAACATGATTTCTCAAACGAGGCTTTGGTTGCAAACAAGATAAAAATCACTTATGTTAGCACAGTGTTTTCCAAACTGTATATTGTGACCAATATTTGAAAAAAAGAACTAAGACTGTCATGAGTGCATCACCCATAGTAAGGGTGAATTTTATTTCTTGACATTTATTTCTCTTACGTGTGTGTATATGTCTCCAGCAAAAAATGTATTTAGAAAGTTGAAAGTTATTCTAGTGAGTATAAGTGGAAAAGGGTATCTTATACTGGAGACTAAGGACAGGGAGGGCCACCAAGTCTCATGAGGGCCCAGAACCAAAAACCACAGAGATGGTCAGGAAGGAGCCCAGGCAGTGACCACTTCTCAGTAGCCGTGTGGACCGTGGTCTCTCAGCTACTCCGCGCACAGGAGAGAAGAGCCTCTTGGTCTCTTGCTTACCACTGGTCAGGCAGTTGTGGCCAAGGGAGCTGGAGTGTAACTGCAAACACGGCCACCAGGGATTGTGTGTGTGTGTGTGTGTGTGTGTGTGTGTGTGTGTGTGTGTGTCCCGAGTAGGTCAGATCTCCCAGTGGCCCCCCACTACACGTGGAATCAAGCCTCCAAAAGTCTAGCTCTCCAGCCTTCCACACTCCAGCCCTCAACCATACTGAATTCTCCCAAACCCACCAGGGTGGGAGGGAAGGACAGTCAGGGAGCCCATGGCTGTGGGGTGGGGGCGGAATTTGTGTGGGAAGAGGACTTACCCTAGCCAAAGCTTTTTCATCATAATTAGCAGCAAATACCACATTACCCTAATTTAATTCACACTAGCATGCAAAAGACTACCAGGGAGAGAGGTGTAAAAAACTGGAAGGCTGGAGAAGAAGGAAGAGAGAGAAGAGTGTCCTGGGTGCCTTGCTAACCTCTAGTACTTTTGACTAAGGCTAGCAGTCTCCAGCAGCAAATGCCTCTGTGACCCAGAACCCTCCCCTGCCCCCACCTCCCTCTGTTCCCCCCACTGCTGTCATCCAAAGACTGTGGGCAGGCCTGGGTCTAGGAAATAGTGGACATCTCTGCCCACCCCCACTCCCACCTTGACATTGAGGCCCCACTTGGGCTGCCTCATCCCCTGGGGTGGAGGGAAGGCCAGGCAGCTCGGGTCTGGAGGCCACCAGCTTCTTGGGGAAATGAGGGTGGAGCGGGGGCCCTGCCCACAAGTGCCAAAGTGGAGGCTGCAGGGGGAGTCACCCCAGGACTGCGAGTAAAGGTGGGGCCGGGTGAAGTCAGGGGCGGAATCCTGGCGGTGGATGGTGCAGCTGTATGAGCCTCCCCACTGGCCCCAGCCTGTTTTCTGTGATTACATTTCATTATCTGGGGCTGCCCCAGGGGCCTCTCTTCCTAGTTTTTCTCTTTTCTTCTCCAGCGCACCGTGGCAGGGGATGATGGTAGAGATGATGGGAGAAGCAGTCCCTTAATTAAAGGAGAAGGAAGACAGCCCGGGAAGAGCTAGAGCGAGGTGGCCCTGGGGAGCCGGAGGCACAAGGCGTGATGGAGATGGCAGGGTAGGGGCTCGCACCGCCCTGGAGTCCCCTCCCCTCTCCAGACTCTGCTTCAGCCGTGCTCAGAGGACAGAAAAGATGCTGTATCAACATTTCAGGGGTTCATCTTTTAAGTTTTATAAAACGACAGCTGTGAAATGTTCAAAACCGCTTTGGAAACTTTGGGGGAGAAAAGGCTTTGCGGCCCACGCAGATGGCCGACCGGCTGACCACTGACCGGCTGACCACAGCCTTTCTCCCTGCCCACGGTGCCCCACCCACCCCACCCCACCCCCAGCTGCCCCCGTGCTCTCCTGTGGCTGCCCCAGCCGCTGCTCCCGGTCTACATCCCAGGAACTCAGACCCCAGTTCCGACTGGCAGCTGGACAGGCCACCTGCACGTCCCGCCAGGACTCGCAGATCAGCAGGTCCCCGTCTCCTCTTTCCCAAACCTCTCCCCCTGTCTCTCCAATGTCCGTCTCCATCCCTCTAGTCAACCGGCTGGAAACATCTGCCCCTCAGAGCAGAAGGCAGCCTCACGGCCCCACAATCCCAGCCCAACCCCTTCCCTGCCTCGTGGCCCATCACACCCTCGCATCACGCCCTCCTGCCCGCTAGGAGCCACGTCTCCTAAACCCACCTGTGTTCTCCCGCCTCTGCCAGGGCTGCCCCTCTCCTCCACCTTCACAAACTCAATTCCTACCCACTCTCAGGGCCTTTATCAAATGCCACCTCCTCCAGGACACCTCCCTGATTCCTTCACTAGAAATGGTGATGATGACAGCCGACATTGGGGTTGGCTGTGTGCCAGGCACAGATTAGCTCTTTACTTGCTTTATCTCATAGCAGCCCCAAGTGGGCATTGTGACTCTGTCACCCCTGTTTTACAGCTAAGAAAACTGAGGCACAGAGAGGTTAGCTAACTTTCCCAAGGTCCTATTCCCTGACTCAAACACAGTTTCCTGAACCTTAACATTCATAACTTTAAGCAGATGACTTCCTTCCCTGAGTTACCCAAGGCATTTTATCTGTTTAAATGTCTTCCCTTGCATTGCAGTTAATTATGTAAACTCTTAAACCAGTTGCTTAAGGGCACAATTTTGTTCTTTACTTTGATTTTTAACAAATACTATATGTAAGTAGTTGACAAAATCGAATATAGTAGTACCCTGCCTAGGCTTCCTGGGAAAACCCCAGCTCTACGCTGTCCCTCTCCATTCCTGCTGCCTGCTTTCCTGTGCTCCACGTCTCTTTCTTCTTTGTGCCTGGCCCACCACGGGCAATGAATGAACATCAGCGGCCAGCTGTCGAACCTACATTGAGCAATCATGGTGTCTCGGGCTCTGTGTCAATGACGCTGCATTTGCTGCCTTGAACTATCCCTCCTCTCCTCGTCCCCACACCCTGCTCTTCCCGGCCTTTCTGTCTCCCCTTCTTGGCCACGGCCAGGCCCTACCTAGGGACTGAGACTCAGGTGAACGAAGAAAGACTTGGTGTCCACTCTTTTCTGATGCCTATGTTGGGGTGTGTTATTAAGTCAGTTCGAATTAAGTTCAGCTGCATTTAGCAGAGACCCAAAAGAGCAGTGGCTTGAACAAGGCAGAGATCATGTCTCTCACATACACCCAGCACACGCCCAGAGACAGGTAGTCCAAGGCCAGCATGGCGTCTCGGCTGCCCGAGGTCCTTGGGAACCCAGGAACCCTGTGGCTTCCTGCTCTGTCGTCCACGAGGTAAGGCCTTTGTCCTCCTGGTCCAAGCTGGCGCTGGATTGCCGGCTACCACATCCACATTTCAGGCATCAATACAGGAAGGAATGAAAAAGGAAGAGGCAAAGGCACACAACAGGGTCCTGAGAACTGCCACATGACACGTCTACTTGTGTTTAATTGGCCAGAGTTTGGTTGCATGGCCATATGTGGTTGGGAGAAGCTGGCAAGTGTAGTACTTATTTTGAGTGGCCACAGCCCTACCTAAGACTTGGATTTTCTACGGCTGGGGAAGAAGGGCAGACTAGATACTGGGGACAACTGGTAGTTTCTACTGTGTTCTCTCTGTGTGTGCATGAGCACATTTGTGTGTGCTGGTGGGGCAGGTTCTTGCCAGCGCTCTAATCTCAGACGGCCTGTTACCAGTTCTCTCTGCAGCACCCAGAAGCCTCCCGTAAACCTGGCCTCTCAGGCAGACTCACGCAGGCCAGCTTCCCATATCCATGTTTTCAAGGAACTGCAATTTATTTTCAGGACCCATTGAAGTATATTGTCAGTGGTGATGGAGGTGGCTTGTAAAACTGTTTTTCCATTTAGGTTTCAGAGGGTGGCCATTACATGAGAGTGACTATGACCAGAGTTAATCTGGTAATAAATTCTCTTGGGAAGGAAGGTGTCAACAACACATGAATCTTAGAAAAGGATACAGCTCCATCTTGTGCCTTGGTGGGAGGGTTGTGGGGGAAGACTCAGAAGTACCCTGTTGAGATGCCTGTGGAAGGCAGTGGGCCAGACGCTAGATTCAGAGTTGGCTACAGGTAGTGTTGGCAGGAAGTTATAATAATTTTAAAGAAGCCAGCATCTACTCCCCCCGCCCTGTGCTGGACACACACACCATGGGCAGGGGCGCCAGGGGTTCATCTCATTTACCCTTGAGTCAGACAGTGGTGTTAGCTCCACTTTACTGATAGGAGCCAGTGCTTTAGGGAAGTCAAGTACCTCGCCCAGAGACACAGGGCAAACAAGGGCAGAGCCTGCTGCTGAAGCCCCGGGGTCTAACCACTACACCCTCCCACCTTCGCCAGGGTCTCATGGGGTCATACTGCGGAGTAGCACTGTTTAACTCTGTTCCACAAACATTTGGTGTATTGCTCAGCTAACAAGTGGTTAATAGAGGAAGTTTTACTTTTTTAAGAGAGAAAACATGCACAAAAACATCTGAACTGCCTTTTCCCAAATTACTTAAGAGATTTTCATATTTGAAGTTGATATGGGGGTACAATTTTACAGCTTCCCCCTAGAGCAGGGTGTTTGTTTCCAAGGGCCATGTTCATAGGAGCTGTCCTTGGTTGGGAATTAAGGTGGTTTATAATTTGGGCTTTTCCGTAAAACCTGGAAAGGCTGGTGGAGTGGGTTGCAAAGGCTCCCACCTCTCATTTTTTTCTCTTCTGTAATTCAGATTTAAAAAATGCCTTTGTTCAAACATTATAAATAATCTGTAAAAAGACTGCTCATTTTTATTATATTGCCAGAAAATGAATTCTAATATTGCCACCTATGGACAAAAAATGTATTACCTGTTTTCATCAAGACCCAGAAGAGGAAGAACACAAAAATCAGAGATTAATTTTGCTACCATCTCCAGAACCTTCATCCTAATATTTACTTGCATTTCATTATCGTCTCAGGCTCACACACGCATACTTAGCACGGATCATTGGCCACAGACTCGCCTATACTTATCTTTATTACCTTTTGCCTCATGTATCTCATTAAAACTTTGCTGTTTAATCAAGGATCTGCATAGTCTTCATTTTAGAATTCATGGTTCCAAGACTTAAAGTTTCACACATTCTGGGTGACCGTGTCATGCTGTCGTCTGCCTCCACACCTTTGCACTCACTGATTTCCCGGCCACTTATGACAACCACTTTCTACTTGTTCTAACCCCTTCTCAGTATTTAACCCAGCTCAGGCGACACTTCTTCCAGGGAGCCCGCTTTGTGCTCCGGTGGTATCTTGCGTTCCTTGCAAAGCCCCTTCTTCCTGCGTTAGTGCGTCTGTCAGCCACGCCAGGGTAGAGAGCGTCCGTGTTCACCACGGTATCCTTGGCTCCTAGTGCTGTGTCCAACGTGTTAGGTGGCCGGTGAGTGCTGGTGGGATTCAGGCTCCCCAAGGGAGAGCAAGGAGCAGCAAAGCCAGCGGTAAAGGCCACCACAGTGTCAGCGGGCTGCTGGGAGACAGTGATGGAGAGGACGAGTAAGAACATAATCTCTAGTAACAGGGCGGAGGAGAGGACATTCCACACCTTTACAGCTCTTTTACAGGCGTCATCCACTTTGGTCCTCATAGAGCCTGGAGATAGGGACATTACAGGGATGAAGGTGGAGCAGGGTTTTTGCAGGTATGTGATATGCCTAAAGTTACGCAGTGAGCGAATGGCTGGACTCACACCAGACCTGTCCTCTTTCCCTTGAAGTACACAGTGAAGCCCTCATCGTCCCCACCACGTCCCTTTGGTCACAGTCCAGCTCACTGCTCTGCTCTGCAGGACACCTCATGGAGGTTTTATTGGCCAGGCCATAATCCTCTTCCCAAGGAGGAAGAGGATTCTCATCACTGCATGTCTAGATCATGACATGTCTTTGGCTTTGAGGCGGTGGAAGCGAGGCAGGAAGCAAAGCTCATTTCCATCCACGTTCTGTGATGTGCCCGGGAGTGGGCCGATGGGTGTATTCTGAGATGCCAGCCCCTTGCAACGTGTGGTTCCTTCTGTTTCCAGGCCCAAGAAGCACATCCTGGGAAGGAAAATGCGTTGTGCACCCCTGTGCCAGTTCCTGTGGCTCTGGCCCTATCTGTCCTACGTTCAAGCGGTGCCCATCGGAAAAGTTCAGGATGACACCAAAACCCTCATCAAGACAATTGTCACCAGGATCAATGACATTTCACACACGGTAGGGAGGGCCTGGGGGGACAAAGTAGAACTGTGGCCAGCCCAGCACTGGCTCCTAGTGGGACTGGAACCAGATAGTCCAAGAAACATTTACTGAGTGCCTTCTGAATGCCAGGCCCCTGCTGGAAGCTGAGGAGGATTTGAAAGCCCAGGGCTCCTTGGTTGTTTCCTTTGGCCCCTCTTCCTGCTGGGAGTCAGGGGTGAGTGGCTCCAATTCTAAACCACCGTAAGAGCATTTAACCTTGACACATGTTTCCATTTAAAAACCGTAGGCTTCTCTGGTATCAGGAGGCCACATGTGCTTGTTTTCACTCTACCGTGGGGAAACCGGGCCTCAGAGGTCAGCCGACGCGCGTGCGGGCAGGCCCACTGCCTCTTCTTTCCTTGCCCCTCTGACTCTGCCTCCCGCACTTGCCTTCCTCCCTGACTTCACCCCTTGTGTGCCATCGGCAGTGCCCAGACCCCCAGTGGCAGCCCCTCTGGGCCTCTGCCCCATCTCTAGGTGTGCTTGTCGTTAAGGTTCTCATAGCGCCAGCTGCCCCTGGCCCTGTGAAGTGTCCCGTACTCCTCTAGCCCTGCCTCTCAAGGCCAGCCAGAAGAGCCAGTCTACCCTCTCTTGCATTCAGCCTTCTGCATATTTTCAAACAGCAGTCAGTGCCCACCCTGCTCCAGCAGGCCTGGACCTACAGCCATTTCCCAGCTGAGGTCTGTATTTGGAATTAGGAAGACTAAGTGTGAATCTTCACACTTCTGTTCTCTGTGACATCTTAAGCAAGTTCCGTAATGTCTTTAAGCCTTGGTTTCATCATCTAGATAATGGGAATAGCATAGTCTTCACAAGGCTGTTATGAGATCCAAATTAGATAAAGCAAGTGACTCCCCTCTTCCCCCACCCCACATGGAGCCACCCGGAGATTTCCATATCTCCTGGCCACTGTGGGTGTCTGACAGTGGCCTTGGGCAGCCAGAGAGAAGTGAAGTGTCTAGAAGCAGGGACAGCTCAGAATTAGATAGAGTCTAAAGCATCTCATAGAGAAAAAGTCTTAAATCTCCTTTCAAAATAGTCATTCGACAAGGCTGCCTGTGATAGAACCAGAGTGTCCCAACTTGGGTGGTGACAATATGTACTATCAGGACAGCAAAGGAGGGTGACTGCTGAGGCGGTTGCCTGAGCGCTGCAGGCGCTGGACAGAGGAGGGAGGTGGGACCCCTGGGGGCACAGCCTTGATCCTCAGGGAGGAAGGGCTGCGTGAGAACCCAGCTGGGAGGGAGGAGTCTACAGGGTGGAGAGCGTGGGATGGCTGGGGAGGGTCTGCTTACGCAGGACCTCAGAACCCTGGGGAAGAGGCTCAGCTAACTAGAACTAGGGCATCAAGGCTGGGTCTTCAGCAGAGGCCATTTGGAGAAAGGAATGGCCTGGGAACATTGGTCTGGAATGGAGGGTGAGGTGGTTTGGGAAGGGCAAGGGCCCAGGAGACCAGGTCAGGGCTTGGCAGTCACCTAGGCACAGGAAATAAGGGCCTGGACCAAAATGGTGAGGAAGGGGGCGAGGAGGCGGCCCAGAGAAGGAGCTTCCATGGCAGTGGGGAAGGCAAAGGGCCTTGAGAATGACCCCCCGCCATGCTGAGTGCTTGCTGTCCTGCTTCCTCCTGCACAGCAGTCGGTCTCCTCCAAACAGAGGGTCACCGGTTTGGACTTCATTCCTGGGGTCCACCCTGTCCTGAGCTTGTCCAAGATGGACCAGACATTGGCGATCTACCAACAGATCCTCACCAGTCTGCCTTCCAGAAACATGATCCAAATATCTAACGACCTGGAGAACCTCCGGGACCTTCTCCACCTGCTGGCCTCCTCCAAGAGCTGCCCCTTGCCCTGGGCCAATGGCCTGGACTCCTTGGCGAGTCTGGGAAGTGTCCTGGAAGCCTCACTCTACTCCACAGAGGTTGTGGCCCTGAGCAGGCTGCAGGGGTCTCTGCAGGACATGCTGCAGCAGCTGGACCTCAGCCCCGGGTGCTGAGGCCTTCAAGGCTGCTCTTCCTCCAAGGACAACGTTGAGGAAGGAAACCTTGGCTTCCGGGTGTCTCCAGGAGAAGAGAGCCTTGTGTGGGCACCCCGTATCCAGGACTCTGTCCGTTTCTCTCACTCCTCTAAACCACCCTTTGAAAGGCATAAGACTCTAAGCCTCCATGTTGCTTAAAACCAAAGATACATACACTGATCCCATTCCCACTAGGAAGGGGGGGGGTCCATCCAGCAAAGAGTGGACTGTGTCTGTGATTCTCACCAAATTCTTCAGCCACCAAGAGGAGTTGTCTCGGCCCCTCCCCATTCCATCTCCCTCTCACTGCGCGCTTCAGTGTGACCTGGGGTAATTTCAAAGAAGGGGCCCAGAGCCTTTGGACGATCAAAACAAGGTTCCATCTGAGAATTCTGGGGAGTACCGTGAAGGCTACATCCATGCACAGCTGGAAACTCCCAAGCAATGCAAGTTGGAAGCACTTATTTATTTATTATGTATTTTATTATGGGCGGATTTGAAGCAAAGCATCAGCTTTTCCAGGTTCCTTGGGGTCATCCAGGGATAGGGGTGCTCCTGGGGTGCTTTTTCAATCTCATAGATGGATGTGGCCAAGACAAACCCATTATGAGTGACTTGAGGACTGGGATTGTCTGAGCAAGAGCTGGCAGAGGTGGCTCTGGAGTTAATTCTCTTATAACTGGTTTTGTTTCGACTGTGATGCATTGTAAGTCACAGTCCTTGTCCTAGCATTGCCCTGAGCAGATATCCAAGGGCCAGGTTATTTTAAAAAGAAGAAAGTTAATTTTGTCAACTGTAATATGTAGCTATGTGCACCCAGGGGTTGACAGGTGGGAGAAGGATCCGGAATGTGTTTTCTGAATAACATTTATGTATTGGGTTCTTTAGAAGGGGTAAGGTTGTTTTCTGATCTGCAACCACTTAGGATGTTTTCCATGAAAGTAGCAAAGGATAACTCTTTTGGGGGGCGCTGAGGTCTGAGGGAGCCCCTGTGGAGGGAGCCCCCATGGAGGGAAGCCTATTTGTTGGGGTGGAGGTGAGATCTGGCCGCCTCTCACTGCTGCAGAGTGGCCTTTCCTATCAGGGACAGAGGGTCCCACACTTGAGACGGTGATCCTCAGAGCAGGGGTCCTTGCCGTGACCCTCTGAATGGTCCAGGGTTGATCCACTATGGGTTTATTACTTGACAGTGTTCCTGTTTGGAGTTTTCATTCCAAATTGTAGTTCTCGTGTGATCAGCTAATCCAAAGCAAAGCCACATCTCCCACCCAATCTGGGGGGATTTATTCCGATGGAAAAGCAAAATCCCACGGGTCCCAAGACAGGACAGGCAGGCACTGCTGGGTGAGTGCCAGGACCCAAGACCAGGCCGCCAGGATCACCCTTCCCCTTGGAGGTCACATTCTGTAGGATGGACAAGGAGGCTTGGGTTTTTCCACCATTCTGCTGCTGTGATGTAGCTACCACGCTGTGGGTGGTGGATCTGTCCAAGGAAACTTGAATCAAAGCAATAAACTTTAAGACTGAGCACCTGCTTCCACTTCGTGCTCAGCCCTGTCTGGTGCTGTGGGCTCGAGAAGCTCACCAAGTAAACATTAAAACCTAGTCCTGCCCTCAGGGACTTTGCATTCCCCATGTTCAAACCTCACTCACCCACGTACTGAGGTTACCCCAGCAGCCGAAGAGCTGAAAGCACCACGCATCGCCGGCAGCTGGGAGATGGCATGAGCTGAGGGGAGCCCACAGGTAACCCCGCTTGCACTTCATAGCATTTCGACTTTTCAGGGCACATTAGCATCTATACTGTGTAGCCACATCGCTGTGAAGCAGGATAACTGAGACTTTAAAACTAAGAAAATATTTAAGACTGTAATAGCTGATAGGTGGACCAGGACTACAGCCCAGGTCCCCTGAACCCCCAGAGCATCCCTCGAGCCAGGTAATCCTCTCGAGAAAGACTGGAGCAGGGAAGACCAGAGTGCTTTCCAGAAGAGAGGTGTTTCGAGGCAGATTTTGAAGGAGGTGAGGTATGTGAATGGTGTGCAGGGAGGAGGCTGTTTTGTTGGAAGCTTTGGTACATGGAGACAGGGAGGTGAAGGTGCCGGCACCGAATTATAGCGAAAGGCAGAGACAGAAGGGATGGGAGGGAAAGGGACATGTTAAAGGGACATTGAAGGGGAAAGGAGTTTGACATTAAAAGAGGTAAGTCACAAGTCCTGGAGCAGAGGCTTGCGCAGTGGTCAGGGTCGGACCTGCTCTGGGAAACACGCGGCAGATCATCGCGGCCACCTAACCAGGCTGCGATGTCTCAAGCCTTTTGCTCACAAAACTTGATACTGTGGTTCATTCTCAGAATGTGAAACTTCCCAAATGTAAATGATTGTCTTTTTTTTACTTACAATTTTTTTTCTTGTTTTATTTAAAAAAAAACTAAATAAATTAACTTTGCCCCCTAGTCTTTGTTTTCTGTTGCTTTTCATAGAGGGGCTTCGGGAGAGCTGTTTGTGTGTGACAGGGCAAGGCCTGGCTGGCCCCCATCCACCGCCGGGGTCAGCTCCGCCCGGGCTTGGCCACGGCCAGCCACCAGTTATTCAGGCAAAAGGATTACCCTGGAGCCAGAGCTGGCAACGAGCACATTCTACACCAGTCAGTGCGGTGCTGCGAGTCAGCCTTGGGAAGCACCAAATTATTTAAAAAACAAAAAAAGAACAACAACAACAAAAATCCATGCAAACAATCAAACCAAAAAAAACCCCATGCAGCCCAGTAACAGAGACCCAAGCAGGTTCGTAGAGTGGAAGAAAAGAGGGAAATTCTCTTGCTGCAGGCACAGAGCACAGCCAACCCTGCAGTGCACACAGGACCTGACAGTGTCCACCCAAATCAGGGGACTTGGAGGGCTGCCCCGCCAAAGGCAATCACTTCCATGAGCACTTTCAAAGACCCTCCCCTCTTCAGAAAAGTTGCTGGTTGCTCTGAGGGTTAAATGAGATGACTCAGCACAGTGTCTGGATTTGAGCAAACCTTTCTTCCCTTCCCATCCCAATTAGCAACAGGCTTAAATGTCAGTGACCCTGGACCAAGGAACACATGGATGTCAACTCACAATAAGCATGGATGACAGCTCTGGATCCTTTCCTGCTGTCTTCGTTCAGGCTGCTACGAAAGTACCATAGACTGGGTAGCTTACCCAACAGACATTTATTTCCCACAGTTCTGGAGGCCGGAAGTCCAAGAGCAGGATGCCAGCATGGTCAGGTTCTAGTGAGGGCCCCCTTCGGGATTGCAGAGAGCGAGTGCCATCTCCTTGTTGTATCCTCGCATGGAAGAAAGAGAGCAGGAGAGCTTTCTGGGGTCCCCTTTCTTAAGTCACCAATCCCACTCTTGCGGCCTCCACCCTCATGACCTAAACACCTTCCCAAGGCCTCCCTTCCTAATAGCATCACATTGGGGTTAGGATTTCAACGTGACTTTTGGGGAGACACAAACGTTGAGTCCACTGTACCTGTGTACGAGCTGGGGATGGAGGGCCTAAGTTCCTGCATGAGGGGAGACCGCAGAAGGAAGGCCATTGGGTATGGGTGGAACAGCCTCAGTGGGTTACTTGGCAGCTTGGGGACATGGCTGGCCTCTGTAACGGTCAGGACTCCTTTAGCCGCAAGTGACAGAAACCCAAGGCAACTTATCTAAATAAAAATAGAGAGGATGTATTGGCCCACGTTGCTAAGAAGTCTAGGCCCTGGTCCATCTCTTACACCTCTTAACTCTGCGCTCGTTTCGTCCTCAGACAGCCTCTCCCTCTCCGAGCGGTGGAGACGGCCTCCAGCACCTCCGGGAGCATGGGAGACAGTGTCTCTCCGGCAGCAGTGCCAGCAAACGTGTCCACGAGGGCTCTTACTGGCTAGGCCTGTGTCACGTGCTCACCCCGTTGCCAAGGATGGGAAAGCCCCACGTAAACCACATGGGCTGAGACTGTGGGAGCCAGAGTCCCACCAGGAGATGCTCAGAAAATCAATAGATCAATAAAACAAAATAAATGTGTAAAAAAAAAAAATAGAAAACATACACCCACCACCACATCTCCTGCTCTCTGGAGTCCCGTGAAGTTCATGGCTTAGAGGGGGAAGATCTTGAGTCCCACCTCTCACTCCTGGACAGTCCCTGCTACTGCCCACGTCTTCCCACCACGTGGGCCTCGTCCTGCTGGCCCCGGGCTCTCTGGTCCGCCCTCTACTCCCTGGGCAGCAAGTCCCCACCAGTGCAGACTGGGGTCTGTGGGCAAATGCCCAGCCTCCCACCATCCACAGGGGCAGCTATGAGGTGCCTTCTCCTCGGGACTGAGGCCTGGGGCCCACGCCAGTAACCGGATCAGGAAGGCACTCTTTGCTGGCTCTACCCCTGCCTCGCCTCACTGTCCCCAGCCTCACTCCTGCTTCCCAGGGAGCCCTCCACAGAAGCCTCCTGCACCCAGTCCTCGTCTCGGGCTTTGCTCTTGGAGGTACCCAGAGTTACACAACTGCAAAGAAAACGGAGACAGGTTTGGACGCTGATCGAGCTATGAAGCAAGGTCATAGAAAGGCGCAGGAACCACACACCAAGACCCAGAGAAAAGTCCCTGCGCCAAAGAGAGGGGTCCTCGGGACGAAGGGAATCCACTCCAGAGAAGTGTCCTGGACACGGAAAGAGAGCAAGGACAGGAAGAGGCATGTTCTGAGATGGGAGAAGTACGAAATTCCCAAAGGAAGAGGGAGGAGGGGACTGAAGAGAGAAGAAACATACAAAGTGAAGCATCGCCTTAATGACCACCATCGGGTGCAGCATTGGGAACAATGTAGGACCTCTGTTCTTACTTGGTGGCCAAAAGAATTGAGGCTCTTGTATAACAAGCCCATTATTTAATGTCAGCAGATTCTCCAAAAAGCCTGAAAACAGCCCTAACTATTTAATATAAAGGTTAAACTTCTTATTAGAATTCCACTCACTTTAAATTTGCTCAGCAAACCTCTTTGAGTTCCAAGATATAGATCAAAGCAACTGTGAAAGACGACTCTGGGGCACTGAGGGAAATTTAAATGTGGGTTCTGTTTCAGATGACCATAAGGAATTATTGCTAATTTTATTAGATGAGATGATGGCATGGTGGTTGGTTATTTTTAAATGCTTCCTTATGCATTAGAGATACAAAGGA